GGAGAAGCTACCTCGGGCCTCATGCACTGAGCATCGCTGAGAATGGTGCACGCACTACTGTTCTGCCTGACCCCAGCGAGCCCACTACGGGGCTCTTCCAGGGCAGGACCTCTGGCCAAGCTCTGCTACCAATGGGGGGCATCAGGGGATGCCTGTGGCAGTGTGCAGGCCAATTCAGAACTCTTGTTCTTCTGGTGTTTGACAAATGCAAACACTGGGCAAGACCATCCAGTTCCTTTTCCTACAGACCAAGCTTGGCAGCTGTTCTTGCCACAGCGACAATGCCCTGCCATGGCTGTGCTAACGGGGATTTGACTTTAGGGACCTCAGCGACTTAGCTCTCATTCTGTCCACCTCAAGGTCCAGACTGGATCTGCTGCAAAGGCCCACAGATGCACTGCAGAGCCTCCGCGAGAACCTCCAAGGCACAGAAGAGAAGCGCCCACGTACGCCAAGAAATTGCCGGCGCCCTGTCCTCACCGCAGAAGGCCTTCGGGGTGTCAGCACTGACTGGAAACAGACAGAGCTGTGTATGCCAGGAGTCCCTTGATTCATCCTGGCCCTGAATGGCCTGACGGTGCATCCGACCACTTCCCGTCTCCAAAAGAAAAGAATCAGCAAACTTCACTTGTGCAGATCACACTTTACACACTTGCTAAAGGGCTGGCGGGAGCAAGTCTCAAACCCACGTACAACTTGCCACAGCCCCTCCAGAGGCCCTGCCCTCTCATCAGAGGCTGGAGTCTATGCACACATGAGGCATGGGGTCTCCCACCCAATCACGTACAGAACACACGCAGACAACCCTCCAAAGGCAGCCCTGCTCCCGCTGCCTGCTCCTATTCAGGAAGCACACACTGGCGAAATGGACAGTGGGCAAGCTCACGGTGCTCCCCACCCCCACTCCATGGATTTTGTTCTTTTCTGCTCTACTAAAACACTATGGGACATAGGCAGTTGGTGGGTCTGTGCCCACCCGGTCTCAGGGCTTCTCAAAGCTAACATACATCTCATTACAAGGAGTCCTTCTCCCGCTGATCTGGCTTGCTTGGGCAGCTTCACCCTAGAGCTACATTTGTTTTTGGCCTGGATCTCAACAGATCCAAATACACGTGTCAGGTGAAGCCAATCCCATTCTCTACATCCTGACCTCAGTGACCCATGGCTGGGTCAGAAATCCACTGCATGAGTTCAAGGCTAGTGGAGTGTTCTTCTGAGCTAAAAAATACCCCCGTCCCCAGGTTTCCAACCTAACACTAAAAACCTTCAGGTATTTTAAGGACTTTGCAGACCACTCTGAGTGTGGTACTTACACCCATGGATTGATTTTCCAGGAATCAGGGAACCCACAGCTCTCCTGGCAGCTCTTACAGACCAGATCAACTGTACCTGTATGGTGCAGATCAAACCCCAGATCACCTCTGGGCTACCCCTGCCTGGGCCAGGGCCTTGCTGAGCTGACCTGGCAGCTTTTTCCCTTGACCAAAGACTATGGGGACTAGACGAGTAGATCTTGGGGATCCTCCCAGCTTTGACATTGTAAGGACAAAAAATTAAAGGAGAAATCCTTTCTCTACAAAAAGGAGAAAATCTAATTTCTCCTATTAGCTCTAATTTCAACGTCTACTAGGACTCACCAGGAAGTCCCTAAGTGGCTCAGGAATTCAGCCCCTGGCATGCCACCCCTCACCTGTCCAGATACCAGGCCAAGTGCTTCGACAAGGGAAGGGTCAGAAAGTGGCCTCAAAGGAGAGGCCCTCTCTCAGCACCAGGGACAAAAACTAATACTTGCTGCTCTCTAAGCAAACACAGCTGGACAGGCTAGCCGAGGCTCCTCTGTCTGGGTGTCTTAACTGCTATAAAGGAGCAGTCTCCAAAACTTGAGGCCATGTCCTTCCTGTCCTGACTGTTCTGTTCCCCTGCTATGTGTATGGTCATAGCCAGCCCTGAGGGAAAAGGGTGCCCCAGCCTGCGCTGTCACACTGGATGAGCCCTTTGAGGGCTGGCCTCAAAATGACACAAACAGTCTGATTTCCCCATCTCCAGAACTCTGGCCCACAACCCATGCCTCATCGGTCTGTATTTTATTTTCCAACACCACACATGCCTCAACTCGGCAGAAACAGAAATGCAGACAGCAAGAATGCTTCCTTTGGAGAGGACCCAGTAACCCTCATTTAGGTCCCCAACAACTCACACAACCATCTCAATGCTCCCAGTCACCCTTCTCTGCTGTCTCATTAGCCAGTCCTCTGCGTGCGGAGCAGCCTGCATGACACAGGGCTAAGAGGGATCATGAGATGACAAGCTCCCAGCCAGCACCATCACCAGCCACCTGGCCCTGTCACCCAGGAAAACCCAAAGGTTCGGGGGGACTATGCTTTCACCTGTGAAATGGAGCCCACGGACTCACACAGTGACATTCCGTGTGTAACCCACAGGGGCTGCACTCTGACTTGACATCTCCCCTCGACTGCTATAGGTAGCACACTAGACATTACACTGCAGTATCCGTTATTCTATTTTCAAAGTCTAATAGGAAGCTGCCTTTTCAGTCAGCTTGTCTTATCAAAAAAGTATCGGAGGGCCAGGGAGATAGCTCAGCAGCATACGCACCTGCCTGGCAAGCACAAGGTCCTAAATGCAATCCCCAGAACCATGAAAAAAAAAAAAAAGTGTCAGGAAAATGATGACAATTATGAAGATTACCACATAAAAAGGGAGGTATTTGAAGGAAGACAAAAAAGACAGGAAAAAAAGGAAGACAAGACTTGTATAGTATCCCTATAAAAATACAATAAATCAGGCAGTTAGTGGTTTTGTGTCAGGCAATCGCTCTAGCATGAACTATATGCTCAGCTCTATTATTTTTTAATCTAATTGCAGTGTTCGAGTCCAATCACTAGCTACCCTCCCTAAACCCCATCCCTGTCTGAACACCCTTCATTTAGCTAATCTCCAGTGCCTGGGGTTGCTCATGTTGAGAAACCCCAGACAAAACACTTTAGGGCACTGTCCTGAGACCACCGTTTTATACTTTGCCCAGAGGACTGGGCAGGAAGAAGGGAGGTGGGAAAAAACAAGTCAGTTCTTGCCCAGCACTGTGGTACATGCATGGAGTCCCAGCACTTGGGAGGCTGAGGCAGGAGAATTTTTCGAAGTCTGAGGTCAGCCTGGGCCACACAGTTTAAGGCCCGCCTGAACTACACAGACAGACCCTGTCTCAAAAACAAAAACATCAAAAAACAAGACAAACAAACAACAATAAAGACAAGTCAATTACTCCCATGCTGGGTGAGGGTTGACAAAGTTGCCAGTCACCCCTAGGACCCTCCCATCACCTCCAGGTTTTCACTCCTTTTTCATTATAATTAGCAGGAGAATAGGAAGTCAGTTGTCACCCTCAGATTACCTACAATCCCATTTATATTCCTTCTCTCTCTCCCTCTTTCTCTCACAATTTTTTTTATGAGCAGCATATACTTATTGGGGAAAAGAAAGCTCCTGTCTGAGAGAGGGACAGGAGGGGGCCCCAGCAGGTTGTCCCCCACCCCCTTTACAAAAAAAAACCCCTCACATTGCCAGATTTTCAATTGCAAATCCAGGGCACAATTTTTTGAGTAAACTGAGAATAAGGATTTAAGAAAAGCATCTGGACATAGTGGGTTGCTTAGAAACCCACCCTGCTACTACATGGGAAGCATCCCTTAAGCTCAGATTAAAGGTAAAACACAAAATACAGCCAGGTGAGGGGGCACGGGTCTGTAATCCCAGCACTAGGGGGAATGAGGCAAAAGGATCCCAGAGATCAGGGCCAGCCTGAGCTATACAGCAAGACCCTGTCTCAAAAATCCACAGGGAAACACACACACACACACACACACACACACACACACACACACACACTCTACTGCAGGTTGGGAGCTGCCACCCTGGACGGGCTCTGTGGGGTTCTACTCCCGCTGTGAGGCAGTTGGCACACTCCTGTGTCAGAGCAGGGGGATCGGGGGCAGACCCCTCCAGTGGCCCAGGCTGCAACCCCAGGTCCTTCCTGCCCTCCTGTCCCCCACCCAACTCTCCCCACACACAGCTACTTGCTTCCAGGCACAAACCCCGCACGGTCCTTACTAGAAACGTCAGGAAGCTCTCCGAGAGACCCCAGGGACGGCCTCATTACCAATGCTACCAACAGCAAACTTTCCTGACGCCCCCTGCCCCTCGGGACACACACCCTGCCCGGGACCGAGTGTCTGCAGGGTGACTCCGAGGCCCTGGCAACTGCGGCGCCGGACCGCGGGTCTCAGGAGCCAGCGCGGCGCTCCCCCCACCCCACCCCACCCGGGGACACAGCGCTCTCCTTGTTTGTGCGCTTCGCCGACAACCTCCGCGCTCCCGCAGGGAATGGGGCAGGCGCCGAGATCCGCGGTGCCTCCGAGTCGGGGCTAATTTTTTCCACCGAATTCACTCTGCGTCCCAGCTCAGGGGACGGGACGTGGATGCGGATGCGGGAAGCAGGCGGCTGCGCCCGGTGGCAGAGCCGCACCGGGAGCTGTGCGCGCAGCCTCGAGGCCGCATCGCACGGCCCCTGAGCCTGGGGACGGGGCCTGGGGATAGGGTCGGGGTACCCCACTTTCCTCGGTGTGCCCCTGGCCCCTGCCCCGGGGGTTCTGCTCTGGTGTTCAGACACAGGGCCGCGCCCGTGGCTGTGAAGCCGGCGGGTCCCCGCGTCCCTGCGTCCCCAATGCAGTGGCCCTGCGTGACGCCGCAGCTGCACCATGACCAGCCCCATAGGGGTCTCGACTAAGAGAGGCAGAGTCAGGAAAGCCCCAGACCGGCTCCGTCCAGCGCCAGGCCGCACCCCGCCACCCCGCGGACCCGGAGACGTCTGGAGCGCGGGTCAGCACCCGGGATGCGCGCCCCCACCACGGTCCTACCGCGTCCCCCACCCTGGCCCCCGCCCCGCGGCCACCTGCACCCGCTCCCGCCCTGCCCAGCCTCACCAGTAGCAGGCGGCGCGCGGCCATCGCGGCTGCGGCCCGGCCGAGCACGCGGCTCTACCTGCGGACCCCCATGGGCCGGGGCCGGGGCGGGG